AAGTGGCAAAGACATTTCCTCCAGTGGAGAACCAAATGCTGCCTTCTTTTGGCAGTGAGAGCAGTGCCATCCACAGTCCCAGCCATTCCTGTCCACAAAGACAATCTCCCCTGGTATTCCAGTACCCAGCCCAGCCCTATCTCTACCTCTCACTCTTGCTCTGCACCACTGCAGATGCTGCCATCCCCCTCCCCAGCCTTAGCTCTTACTTGTGAGCAACTTGGCATTCATGCCTGGGTCTGCAAGAAAGCAGGGAGCCTGAAATCACTTGGCTCCATCTTCTGAGAAAACTGACAACACTGCCATAAAAAATGAAAAATTCCTAAAATAACGTGCAACATGGAGAAGTCACGTGCTTCTGATGCCCACCACCTCTCCCTCCCAGCATTCCTGGCTGCGTGTGCCTGCCTCATCAGCCTTCCCTGTGTCTGTCTCCATGATTTATGGTCTTAATAACTGAGCCCGAATCCAGCTGCCCCCCCAGGGGCTCATAACCAGCCGCCACTCACACTCGTCGTTTGGTATATTCTGGTGCAGTCCAGAGCATATCCTCATAAGAACCCCATCACTTGCTCCTCTGCTCAGGAGTGGACACTTTTCCTGGAGGACTCTGGACACCCCTTCACCTTTTACTGGAAGTCACCATCAGACTCCTGAAGCAGTAGAGCGGGGCATACAGCATTTTATTGGACTCTGGGGCCAAGTGCAGGAAACGAATGAAGGACTAGTTCCCTGAGAACACAGGTATGGAGGCTCTGGAGGTGCCAGTATAGGGTCTGGTTGCTCCATGCAGGCACTGTCCTGCCCCATGAGGGTCTGCTCCCCACTGCAGAGCACCTGCAGCTCATTTATCTGCCAGATCTCTTTTTCTATTACACGTTGCTGTCCAGGGCACTGGTAAAGCCTCACAGACTCCTGGTGTCTGGCAAAGTAAGTGCCTCCTATCCTGCTTGCACTCCAGTGCAAATAATTCATAAGCAGCTAAAAGGAGGTAAAAGACCCCAATTAGTCTCCAAAGAGTCTGCCTGCGGTTTTCAGAGCTGCTCCGAGGTCTCCCGGCTCCTTGGAGGTATGGCTAACCTCTTGGACTAATTGACAGCAAGGGAGAGGCACAAGCCAGTTTCCAACCTCTAATCCCCTGAAACTCCACACTTTAACCCTGCAACGGCAGCTTGGCAGCTGGTGCCCATCCTGCCCTCATTTCTGCCAATTAATGACTCTCTAATTGCTCCTTAGCTCGCACTGACAAGGTGGGGAGGGTTGCCAGCCTTCACTGTCACAGGGGAAAGGGAGCAGTGCGGGGGGCATCCCAGAAGATCAGAGCTAATGATCCAACTGACTACCAGCATGTGCTTTGTGTGTAATACCTGTTAACAGGCAGTTCCCCTAGGGCTGGCTGGGGAGCGAGCTCCACAAGGAGAGGGCAGGAACAGTGGAACGGGAGTCAAGACAGAAGAGCTCTTGATTTGGAGCACATCTCATTTGCACAAAAGCCGGGTGCCCACCTAACCGAGCATGGTTGAGCAGCAGAAACAGAAATACCCCAGCCATAGTGAGGGGGGCGGCGGGGGAAGAAAAGGGCAGGTAGGAAGGGATGCTCCATTGAGCAGCACGCTCTGGCTGCAGCTGGGAGGCAGCCAGCCAGCTCGAAACAGTTAACAGCTCTCTTCAGCCACAGCACGGTGATGGATGAGCCCTACCCCGTGGAAATGTCACCGTCTGAGCAGAGCGTGAGCTCATTCCCCTCCGCCTCCCATCTCAGCCAGGGGGGCAAGCAGCCCTCATAGCAGGCACTGCAGGGGAGGCCTGGCCTGGCCTCACACCTTTTGGTGACAGCGTCCAGACACAAGCAGCAAACAGAGCTGTGAGCCCTTGGGGTTTGACCGTGCTACCCCAAAGCCTGTTGATTAATGTAAAGAGGGCTCCCCTCCTTTGCCAAGGAGCGGAGGAAATGTAAACGGATGAGGGATGGTCTGGTCAGGCCTTCAACCTTGTTATCTAATTTGAAAAATGGGCAAATGAGATAATTATGGTGAGGTATCGATTCATAGCAACATGCTCCATAAATGCCATAGCAATAACTCTCGGCTCTGCCATGCACAACCCCAGCCCTTCCTCAGCTGCAGAAGGCAAGCACAGGCTCTTTGATTCAGCCTGCATGTGTGCCTGAGGGATGGAGCTAGTCAGAGATGGAGCTGAGTGTGCCCTCACGGTTTCTGCCTTTCTGTCTTCCCCACATGGCAGTGGCCTCAGGACAGTGCAACAGGTACCCCCTCCGTGCTTCTTGCTGAATCAAAGGCTTTTTCTTGCAGCTGAGGCAGCGTTTTCCCTCCCCACCAGTGACTGGGGAAATTGATGCTGTTGGAGGAGCACAGTCACAGCTCCATTCACACAGCTCAGCCACTTACCCTCGGTTTCACCACGTGTAAAGTGGGTGATCATTATAATCCCCTGCCTCCCAGGGGACATCAAGAGTCAATGAATAAGTCATAAAAAGAAGTGCTTTGAGATCCTTGCGTAGAAAATATTCTGGGGCTGTTATTGTTATTGGTGATGGCACATACTTATTTATTCCACTTATTGGCACTTCAAGCTACATTAAAGTCATTCCCTAGATGCAGGAGACTTCACACAAAATATATGACCTTCTGTTCCAAAAACACAGACACCTGCCTGTTGTAGTGAGGCAAATGCTGCCACTTGGCTGTCTGCTTCCTCACAATCACTGCCTCGTGTGACCATTCGCAGCAGCATCTCTGCTCCCTCCTTCCCCTCCAAAGGGTCCTACCCCCATTGCCATGGCAAAACCTGAAAGCCTTTCCCCTTTCCCCATCCTCTCAGCTTTATCCACTGCATCCAATGCTGTTACACCCCCTTTCTCCAGATGGTGTTTCCTCAGTTTTTGCCCTGAATATGTGTATCCCATCTTTTCTGCTTCCTCAATAGCTCCTTCAACATGTATACCTATACCCTGGCCCCTACTCCTTCCTTTTGTGGAGAGTATGGAAGTCTGAGATAGTTCATGACTCAGTTTCTCCACTCCCTTTGGTTCTGCTATCCTACTGGATACAAGGGGGGATTCCTTTCCTGAGACAATAAGTGGGAACGTCCCTCAGGACATGTTATCACAGGCATAGCATTATCTTAGAGCTCCAACAGAAGACCATCACACAGATCATTAACTTCAAATAACTGCCAGAAGGAGGGGAAAGATGCAGGATATGGGAAGATAGTATGACTGGTGCCTAGAGGCAATCTAAGCTGCCTGGGGAATGCAACTGCATGCAGTTTATGCTTTGCTGCTCTGAAATTCTTTACAACCTCATCAGACTGCTTCATAATCTCTTGGCTCACAATCTCTTGACACTAAGAGATGCTTTCATTTTCCTATCCCACACGAACATGGAGCATGTTGGAATAGTTGTGTTCCCCATCCCTTACATACTCCTCAGCATCCAAGTCCCACCTTCATGGTCCCTGTGTTCCTCTCAAGAAGTCTCTCCTTCTCTGGATGGACAGCACAACTTGTCCCCATCAGGTTCTTTCAATCCCATCATCACCAGGAGACCCAGGAGTTGGACTCAGTGATCCTTATGGGTCCCTTCCAACTCGGGATGTTCTATCATTCTATCATTCATTCTCCCTAATAGCTTTCCTGTGGACCATTCTCTGCTTTCTGTGCAGATCACCTTTTCCTCCTCTGGCCGTGGCTGGAATGCAAGGAACCAGTCTAGCTTCTGGACAACTGCTGCAAGTACAGACTCCACCTTGGGTGTCCAGCAAACCTGAAAATACAGACTGCACAGTGCTTCCACCAGAGAGATAAACCATGAAAGGGGAAAGGTTGGGAGCTGGTACCCTAAACATGTCCTTACAGAGGTGAGCACAGCAGATTCCAGGTTATACACAAATGACTCTTCAGGTTCTCCAGGCACTGGCTGATGTCTTCTGTGTGAAGTGTTAAATCTCCAGACACTGACTAAAAACTACCCACTGTCAGAGAAAATATTTTGTTAGTTTAAGTTTATTAGATGGTAGACCTAATTAAAAGTTCCAGTGCGTGGTAAATGCTTCTTTAATTACAGTGAAACAAGAACATTAGAATTGTGGTTTTGTAGAGAAAGTACATCTAATTAGGCTGGTATATTTTAGGGTATTATTTCTATCCATTCGAAATACACTGCACTTCATGTTGCTTATTCCAATCAGAGCTTTACAGAAATGTGTTCCAAACAAAAACAAAAAAGAAAAGAAAAAAACTTTTTTTTAATTTCCTCCTCCACTTCTTTTTTTTAATGTTTAATTTATTCTTAATGAAAGAAACTAGACTGAGAGTCCCCAGAGGATGCATTCTCTTGTTTGCGCACAGAACAGATAACCAGCACTGCGTGGATCAGTACTGGGATCTCTGCTAAGAGCAACTGGGGAGCTACAAAGCTGTTGCTCAGTCCTCTATCTTACCATGTACAGTAGCAACAGTGAAGTCATGTTTTTATGACACGGACACTCATTCAGTGAGACGAACAATCTCACTCAATTTATCCTGCCAAATGCATTTCTACATAGTTGCACTGCCAGAGGCACAATCCTGCTCTTCTCCCACATACGTTCCCTGGCTAGCAGGGTACCTAAGCTCAAAGCTAATAGACAACTTGCTCTCAGATACGTGAGACCAAAACTTTATTTCAGACATTTTACATAGAAACAACCTTTGCTTCCCTGCCTCCCCTACCCCACAGCAAGCTTTGAAGAGCAGCCATGCAGAACTGCTCCTTTTATTCATCACTGGCAAAAACAGATATCTAATTGAAGTGACTGTAGTGGAAATGCTAAGTCATGGTCTGGAGCAATGATTGAGCACCTGGTGAGAAGGCAGGGCCAACCCAGGGGAGCTCAGGTGCATGCAATGAACCTGAGTGACTGGAAGGGTGGAGTCAGGATCCACCCCTTCCCAGACCTCATTTAAGTGTTGGCAGTGGAGATAGGAAGGCATCTCTTGATGGTGGTCTGTACCTACCTGATGCCTTCCAAAGGTAAGCAAAATTTTTTTTTTTTTTTTTTTTTCCTATATTTTTGTGGCTGCTGCACTTGGGCTTATTCTCATTTGTTGTAGCTAAAGACAAACCTTGCTATCATTGTAGTACTTTCCATCCCATTATAGAATTACAGTGACTATATTGAAGAAAAAGAAATATAAAAACAGTGCTTTGTAGTTGAGAATTTGCTCTAACAAATACTGTTATTGTGTTCTTTGTGTCTGTTATAGTTTCCATGGAAATAAATTGGAGGCATTACTTTCAGAGCAACCTACATATATGTGTGTATATACAACTGTGTATGTGTGAATATATGCCTTATAAGTATTTGTAAATATGAAACAGTGGGGATATAAGAAAAAAAAAAAAATAAATCTCTGTAGGCTGCTGGATTGTTCTGTGTTGGCCAATTGAAATTTAAAGGGAAAGAGCATAAGCACACACATGGGCTGCAAATAGGCCTGGTCCCTATCTATGCACCTGGCACTGAGAGCCAGCTGCTCCAAACCAAGTGCTGGAAATCACAAAGCAAAACTAAACTAGGACCAGCTCAGGGAAGGTTATTATCTGTTGTCCTAGGACTGCATATACAAAAGCAGAGTGCTGTGCTGCCTGAGTATCCGGTATGAGCACAGGGATAGCCAATGGAGCTGGGTGTTGCAGAGGAACTGCCCTGGGTGCTGTCTTGTTATAAGAACGCTGCTATTTTTTCATTAAGAGGTCTGTGCATGCTAATTCTGCAGGTAGATCTTACAGTCTGTTGTCTTATGGACTTCTGGAGGACTCAGGCTAATGTTGCACTCTACCAACTGGCTCAGCAGTTGTCAGTAAGTCATAGATGTTTGCTATCTGCTTTTGGGGTCCTTCCTCAAAATTGTTTCCCTTATTCCTTAGTTTTGCTCTGTTCAGAACAGAGGCAGCAGGCCCAATGCAATAATACCAACACCTGCAAATGCTGGTAGAGACCCTCTAGCTGGGCTTTATAGCATTGTTGTACCTTCTAGACTCTCTGTAGCAGCAGCAGTGGATCACCTGGTTTGTTCTTCATGCTTCTGTTAACCCATCCCCAACAAGCCAGTGATTGACAGCAGTTAGACCTGCCTAGAAAGAAAACCGTCCTGCCCCTACCTCAAGCTGAACTTGTCTGCAAGAGCAGACAGGGATGTAAGCTCTATTCTTAACAACAGGGTGGAAGAGACCAGAGCACAGCCTGGATGTAACTCTGGGAAGGAAAGTGACTGGGCCCACGGGTCACATGGGTGAAAGTCCTTCTGGCTGCAACATCAGCCAGAGCAAAGCTGACATAGCCCTGAATCTCCTCATTTCTGTGTATAGGCTGATCTGCAAATGGGCTCTGGCAGGAAGAGCCCCCTGAGGGGTACTATCACACCGATGCCCAGATGTGTTATGAAGATTGTTTTTGCAGCTTTCTCTCAAGCATCTGATAGCAGCCACTGTCAAGGTTGAGGTAAGGGCCTAAAGGGACATTCATTTGGTCTGCTACAGCATTTCCTGTGTTTACAGTGGCCTTCTTTTCTCCCATTCTTCATGCGTATGTATGTATGTATGTATGTATGTCTCTTGGCTTCACGACTCCCATGTGTTCCCAAGCAGTGACTGTGTCTTTGTGTGCTGGGCAGGGCTGAGCAGACCGATGCCATTACTGCCATACAAATGGTAGTGCCCTGCCCTGTGCTCCTCCTCCTGGCACAGCCCTCCCCATCCCACAGCTGCCCCATGCCAAGCTCACCAGCCCCATGCAGAAGATGGCAGCTGTTCCACTTGTCCCTGCAGGACTGTGCAGGCTTTCCTACATCCCCCTGCTGACTTGTGCCTATGTCTTCCAATGCCTGCAGCTCCTTTTTACCCACAGCATCTTCCTCTCTGATTTAATTCCCCAGCAGCACAGCTTCCCACGCAAGGTCCAAGCTGTCTCTTCTTACATGCCAGGGCAGTGGCATCACATTGCCCCACCACAGTCCTTGGTGGCTCTGGCCAAATGCTACTGCAACACTGCTTTGTGTTCTCCAGCTACTTGTACTAAATGCTGCAGATCAGAAAACAACCGAAATGTGAGGTCCTAAATTCTCCAGTGGATTGCCAAAATACCGTTGGCTGGAAATCTACTCAACGTGGTCTGAGGGTCACTCTGTGAGCTGATTTCCTGTTCCCCTTTTGCTGGGAGTGCTTGGTCTCCTCATTACGGTCACTCTTCCCGCACAGCCCCCCTTCACCTGGCAGCAGTTCATTCTCTAAGAGTTATCATTTATTTCAAAGACAAGGCACTAAACAGATGATGCCTGCCTTTGACAGTGGGCTCAGGATTTCAGTTTTTGCTATGAAACGTTCAGTATGCTCAATAGCTGCCTGTCTGCTCAGCAGCACCTCAGGGCCTCCTTGGCTCAGGGATTCTCTGACCTATCCCACCTCCCCCTGGGCTTTGGAGGTCAGGGTGGCTTACAGGGAGTGAGGAATAAAGCATCCAGATCCCTGCAGGGGAATGCTGAGCCCAGAATATTGTGCAAAGTGTGACCTCCCTCATCACCCCCACCCAGACAAGGCCTATGGGGCTTGGAGGAAGCTTTCTCCTGCTTCAGCTGCATCTACCTGGGAAAGTCTTAGCCAGCCACGTACCTCCTCTTATGACACATTAAGGGGTGGGGAGACTCAGAGTCATAGAACTGTTGAGGCTGGAAATGACTAAGATAGTCTAGTCCAACTGTCAACCCATCAACACCGTGCTTACTAACCATGTCCCTCAGTGCCACATCTAACTATTCTTCTCTTGAAAACCTCCAGAAGCTTTCCTGGAAGCTGTGCTGCTGAACTGAGTGCTTGCAAACCCTCACCAGACAGCTGACAGAGCATAGATGGTAACTGTCCTCCTGGCTCCTACACATCTCTATGAGCCACACAGAACTCAGTTGTCAGATAACTTCCCAGGTAAGTAGCAACAGGATGAGAAGCAATGGCTTTAAGTTGTGCCAGGGGAGGTTCAGGTTGGATATGAGGAGAAATTTCATCTCAGAAAGTGGTGATGCAGTCACCGTCCCTGGAGGCGTTCAAGAGCCATGTGGATGTGGCACTGAGGGACATGGTCATGTGGGGATAGACCAGATGATCTTAGAGGTGTTTTCCAACCTTAATGATTCTATGATTTACAAGATAGACAAGATGGAGAGGGGCCTGGATAACATGACACAAGCTGGTGGTTCAGCTCTTCCTCTGGTACAGGTGCACAAAGCCTCTGCAAAGCTGTCAGTGCAGAGAGTTCTCAGGATTTATGGCCCCTTCCTTCCCTACCAGCTGTCACGGCTTAGCTTTCCCTTGTCCCTGGGCATCAAAAGCACAGACACTGAGGTTGCCCCACACTTGAGCTGAAGGAGCAGACCTAAGTTACTCCAAGCAAAGCGTCAGGACTGGAAGGAGATCAGAAGAAGAGAGCCCATGCAGCTGGGCTGTGCAATAACAACATTAGGCTGTCATACCAGCTGTTTCATTACACGTTCAATGCATTTACCAAGCCTGCTTACTGATTTTCATTTCTCCAACTAGGCAAAAAGAGGCAAGAAGAGGTGAGCAGCAGCAGCAGAGCTGCTGGTGTGTGAGGGGAGCAGGAGAGCTCCTGCACAGGAGTGACCACTCGTGTGAGAAAGAGAGAAAAGGATAAAGCACATCCATTTGGCTGGGAAAAAGAGGGGATCCTGCTGGCTTGAGAAAACTGCCCCCCTAAGCTGGATGAGTGAACACCTAGAAAAAAATGTCAGCTTACTGATCATAATAGGGGCTGAAATTTATTATGTGCTGCATAGCCTAACGGTGTCTGTTAAATCTGCAGACAAAGCACTTGCTGAGATTGTGGGAAATCTACACAATCACCTATCCTGGGGGTCACTGGCGATGATAGAGCATTTCTGTTTTTATAAAGAGAACGTGAAAGAAAATGAACATTTCTGAATACGTGGCTGGAATAGAGAAATGTCCAGAGATTTCCCAGGGTGTAGGGAATATAAATGATGCATGAAGGAACGGGGTTCTCTGTGTTCAGGGAAATAAAACAACCCCCAGCCAATGATTATAGTGCAAGGCTGATTTGACCCCACACCTGCTTTAAAAATGGGGATATTACTGGAAACGTAGTACGGAGGATGCCAAGATTTGTGACAGTATTGTATGATTCACACAACACATTAACCAAGATTATCACAAAAAGCATAGCGTGGACAACTGTCACAAACATAGAGCTCTCCTAGCAGGAAATGATGTTGCAATGGAAGCGCTGTCAGTTCTTGCAGGAACAGCTAGGGTCTGTGTCCAGGTAAGTACAGCAAGGATGAGGTGATGGAAGCAATTGGCTCTGATTACAGATCTATGGACTCTGCAGTCAAGCATCAGCCCAGACACGTGGCAGCTCCTCATGGCAGCAGTCTGGTGATAGGAAAGGAAACACTCCTGGCTTCTCACTACTGAAACCCCAAGCCTGACGGTGAGGCTGGGAGAAAACAGGTGGCTTCTCCAACTGGCAGCTGGGCTCAATGAATAGGAATGAAGCAGTCAGGCCATCCTCCTGTGGAGATGACTGGACCTAGGAGGTGCCAAGCAAAAAGAAGCTGGAGTGGGTACTGCTGGGATGGATGAGATAATGTCTGTGCACTGATGACTGCCCTTGTCTGTCTGTGTTTGAAAATAACAGTTAAGCACACATCTAGGTTGCCCAGTACACAGTGCCAGAGCATGGCACTCAGCAATGCTGAGTATCTATGGGAAGATACCAGCCAGGAGTTTAGTGTGACGGCCAGAGACTGGTGCATAAATGGAGGAAGAACATTACTGGGGTCTGGGTTATCAACAGAGTTCCCAGGCAGGCCGCACTGCAACCTGTGCATTACCTGATTCACACCAGCCCATCTGCCAAGGCTGTGCTAGATATTTCCAAGACATACATTCCTTGCTGCTGCTGGGTAGCAGGAAGCTGCCTGAGCTCCAGCAGCATGAGGAGCTGCAGGAACAGGGATTTCTTAGCATGTTGTCAGTGATAAAAGAGGCAGGCTCCCTCTCCTAGCAGATGACAATAATAACATCAAGGAAAGGATAAGTTCAGTAGGATGCACCCCATAAGGACAGTGCTGGTTGGTGACAACCATCCCTCCTTAGCAAAGGTGCTGTAATGAGCCAGACAGAGATTCAGCTTAGCACGCACATCTTCTGGTTCATTACAGAAAGCAGCAGACACTATTGCTATCAGAGAGAAGCTTCCTTTCTGCCCGCAGCAGACAGTCTCCTTTGGAGACCCTTTCTCCAGGTCCCAGAGTTCTGTTCTCCAGAGAGGAAAGCAGGCAGCATGGCACAGTTCCCACCCACACACCCAAAAACCTCTTCTCCTGAAACTTCCTGAAACAGGATGGCCTCATCCATGCAGTTCCTAGACCCTGCTTTTCCTTGAATTAAGCACAGCTCTAACCCATTGATTCCTGTCCAATAATGCAGAAGAGATAACATCTAGGAGATATTTGGGCTTAAGAAGTCAGAGAGAATGGAAAGTGGGGCCTGGAGCTGACGTTGCTTTTGGAATCCAACCAGCCTTGGGAGTTTTATTCAATTAAAGACACTGTTATTTAATAAGAGGCATTTGCACTCAGGCTGCATACAGACACAGACATATAGCAAAGGGAGAGCAGATGGTCCCTAGCAGTGGCCTTTTTCATGCTGACACTGTGACACCACTTCCACCCCTAGGGACTCAGACGTGCAGCAGGGTCCCTTACTGCTGTGGTGCAGCTGCATCTGCCTGGGATGTGGCATAAGGCAGCCCTGGGGGAAAGCAGGCAGGGAGCAAGAAACATTGACCCTACCTGCACCGGGCAGCCCAGCACAACCATTGCACAGTAAGATCCCTCCAATGAATGGTACTCTTAAGAGGACCTTCAGAGATGCTTTGAAGCTCTCTTTGCTTCCGGTAGAAGCTGGAATCTCTTGAGTCAAAATGGGCATCAGAAATCACCGCTCTGCTTCCCCCAGCTAAGATATTCCACCATTAAGGTGGGAATTGGGCAGAAGGTCTGGATGATGGCTCTTATCTCTAAGATTTGGTCCTCTAACCAGCTGCTAGCTGTGAAAGAGCTGCATGAGTTTGTTTGAGGTCCCCATCAGGGCACATTTTCATGTTCCTGCTGGGCCCAAAACTTTTGTTCTAAGTGGCTTAAATAGCTGGCTTACCTGAAAGGAGCTCAGCTGATGAAAAAGCTTGCAGGAAACTCACACCACTGGGAACACAGCACTAGCACTGATATAGTGGAATAACACAATGACAAATGAATTTTCCTTTATTGTTACCGCTTAGGTTTTGTGATCAAGAACCATATCCTCATTTAGAAAATATAACTTAGGTAACTAATAAGGCAGTACACAGGCATCCAGAGGGATTTTATCCAGAGGCACTTCTTTGTTCAGTGCACATGAACAAAGAAGAACAGCCTGAGGGTTTTCAACTCTTTTGACCTGGAGGAAGAAGGGCATCAGGCCAAAACAAACAAAAAAAACCCATGGTCCCTAATGGTCTAAACCCAGATCTGCCACCTGGCAAGGGGGGCAGCTAATAGGTAGGAGCCATTTGGGAAAACATAAAGTATCTGAGTCCTAGACAAGACTGTTACATAAGTCTCTGCATTATCAGGCTCAGGGCTCATCCCCAGTTTAAAATGGGGCAGATAGCTGGGCTTCTACCTTGGACTTCCATGTCCTGTAAGGCAGAGAGCTTGGCTGCCGTGCAGCCAACCTAGCAGGAAAGCATTTCCATATCAGGCTGTACAGCACAGAAGTCAGCACAAGTCAGACTTTCATTATCTTGCTGTAACTTGGCCTCTGAATTCTGAGCTCCACCAACACCGGTTTTCATATTTTTTTCAACACAGTGTGAAATTTGCTGTTGTTGCTCATGCACCCTTCGTTCCATGCACTGTTTCAAGGCTATCTCCACTCCCAGTCTCATCTCGCAATTCTATGGATTTTAAAACCTTAATGTAGCATCAGAAAGAAGATTTCTTTCTAATTCCCGTGGCTGCTGTGGTATTCACTCCCCATTGTTCCCCGTTGCCCTTGAAAAATTATTCAGGCTCATTGTGAACTCCCAATCTCCGAGCAGACTCCTGAGCTCTCTCTTGGTGTGCGCCTACTTAAAAGCAAAACAAACACCAGTTCACAAAAGCTTTCTGTGTACCTTGCTACCTAGAAAGCAATTCAACCCATTATATCTCCTCCAGTGGTTTTAACACACAGCGTCTCAGGGGTTGGTGCAATGAACGTTAGTCATAAGCTAATCAGAAATGGAGGTGCTTAAATAATTCATTGGCTTCCTTTCTTCCTGGAGAACTTCAGTGCACAGCCCTGTCATGTCATCTATGCAGCGCTACCAGAAGGCAGCTCACTTCACAGAGGGCGTCAGTCAGCTCAAAGACAACAGGGCAATTGCTGTGACAAGCTGCGCTCCAGAAGCCATGGAGCATCCTGCTTAGGGGAGCACTTCTGGATCCTAGAGGAGCAAGAGGAAGGCTTGCTGTACCTCTGCTCCCCCAAATACTTGAATAGCTTTCTGAAATGCAAAAACCCAGAGCAAATATCTTTGGAGAAGTACCAAGCTTAGGACCATCCAGGGTCTGCAAGGTTTCTCTAAAGCTTGAGAAATGGGAAGAGAGGAAGAATTCAGACAGCACACCCCAGGGCTGCACATGGAGCTGCTCTGGAAGCACAACTACAGAGCAGGGAAAAAGGAACTGCAGGCAGCCAGGAGGGCAGCGCTGGGCCCAGCACAGATCCATGTGTGAGCTCTGCCGGCCAACCTAATGACCCCAAATCACAGCATCCCTGCTGCCTGATGAAGGCTGCTTTGTACAGAGAAGGCTGGCTTGCATGACTGCAACGTATCGGCATGCTGCCAAGGGAGTAATTCCTCTGACAGGGCAGGGACTCTGCTGACCTTCTGCAAAGAGTCGCTGTGATACTAAAATTAGAGGCTGAGTTCAAACAGAGTGGGGCTGCCTGTGACTTTGCAAGGGGAAGTCTAATGCTAATGGGTGCTTCTGGGACTATGTAAATGGAGGGAGCCCAGTGCCTCTTCCAGAAAAGGCATCTAATGAATGGTCAGGACACAAGGCAGGGACACAAATGATGCTCTGTGGAGGGGCAGGAGCCCAGCTCACACCAGGAGCCACAGTGATATTACCATGAAGGAGGCAGGCAGCAATCTATGGCCATTTGCTCCCAGCAGGTGGGCAACATTCAAGAAGTGCACAGGTTGGGCTGAGGAGCTGGGATGGAGGCAGGGATGGGACAAGGGCAGTCTCCTAGCAGAAAAGCAAGGCATGCTTTTGGCTCAGCACTTCTTCAGGTCATTAATTCTTCCAGAGAACAGTTGGGCTGAGTAAGAGAACTGAACTGCAAGATAGATTTACTGCTACTCTCTGGGTAGGGAAATGCACAGACTCCTGTAACCCACATCTACACAAGCCCACTTCTCTGGCTCCTCTGGCTCAGGGCGCATCACTCAACCAGCATCCCACAGATGGAACATTTGCCACCTCTCTCTACTCCCCTCTTGCAAAAAAATGAGTGCAAGCAGAAACATACTTACAGCAAAGAAGCGTTTGTTCAGCACCCTGAAAATAGCAAGGAAAGGCCTCCAAGACTAATACCAGAAAAGAAGCTCCTTATGGCATGGATCACAAGACTGCATTTCTGTATATACTGCTTTGTATAACCACGTGTCATCAAGCTTTGCCTAGTTATCTTCACCATTAGCAGGATAATTCCTTGTGGCAAGGAGTCCCACAGCTTAGCATGTGCTGTGCAATCATTACAGCTTGGTTTGCAGTATTGCATTGCCTGGAGGAGCTGAACTTGCTTTGATTCACACTGTGAATTCTCCTTGCTCTCAAGAAGCTGGGAATAAGGGAGGCTGTGA